ACGCTAGCCAGTCTAGGTGGGAATCACAGGTGAAGATAAATGTGGCAAGTGTGGTAGTGTGAGCAATCGCGCAGGCCGGGTGGTGTGCATAAAGTGAAGTAGGATGCATGCACATTAGATAGCAGGAGTTCTGTATATGTGTAACAGATAGCAAGCGCAGTCTACAGTTCAGGTCACCTCCGATAGGAGGTACTTGGTGCTGTGGCGACATTTTGTGACCAGGCTGCATCTGGTGTTGAGGAGCGATGCCTTGTCACTCTTCATTATGGCGATCTTCTCCGATAGGCATAGGTTGCACCGCTTCGAGGTTCTTTTGTAGGCGCTGGATCTCTGCCTGATTCTCCACGAGATGTTGACGTCTTCACCTGCCTCCTTCAATGCCCATGCATGCTTTGACAATTCTGTGCTGTTTCTGTGTGGGGCATTCCGGAACGATGACGTGTGGTTGTTGAACCGGAGTTTGAACGGGGTTTCGGAGATGCCGATATACTTCTTCCGGCTGAGATTGGAGTCCACTGTAGCTTCGTACACTATCTCGCTGGCGTTGCAGTCCCCGTTGAGTGGGCAGTTTCCTTTGATACGGCAGTTACATCTCAATACTTCTATTGTTCTATATATATACTCAATCTGCGGACAGCATGCTGTTTCGTTCTTTGTGAACTCGTCAGCGTTCTATATATATATATATATATGTAGTACAGGCATCCAACAGATAGCGCCTTGGCAAATTGCACTGCCCCACTATGCTATAGTCATCTAGCACTCAGCTTCACACACTTCTCAGCCGGCAAGTTAGCCCATTGATTACGTATCAGGGGTCCCGCTAAACCTTGCACTTTCTTCCGCCTGCATCCACCTTAAATTCCCATTATGCTTTGACCAGTCTGCATTGAATATTGTTTGCCTGATGATTGCACACAGTGCATGAAACTCGGAGTAGCGAAATATTACGAGTGATCCATTGTTTGTTGACATGTATATATGTAGGACTCAGTATAGAGTCCATGCACTATATGATGTCCAGCACCCTATATAGAGTCCATTGGTCCAAAATCCACTATACAGAGTCCAGGAGTCCCCTCAGTTTTGATCAGCTTCATCCTGCCGCGCAATCCCCTATAAGGAGTACACTTTTTCTACAAGTCCCCTATTCACAGTCCAGGAGTCCAGTTTATCCAGTCACGCCGTCCTGTGTGTTGTGCCCGAAAGAGAACAAAAACATTTTCAGTTTTGCTTGCCTCGTGGCAGCGCATTCCTTTCTTCACTTCAGCCATGGCTGCCAATTCTGCTGTGCAGTTGCTGACAGTAATCTGTCTCGAGGTAACCAAGGAGGATAAGGAGACGTTCAAAATCAAATCTGGAAAGCGTCTTGTGGTTCTCTGAAGACGTTTCATCAGTGCGCGGGATGAAAGCAGAAATTGCAGAACGAGAAAAGTTCAGCACAGTTCAAATCTGACGAGTCAGGTACACTGACGCTCTCTTTCGTTCGACGCCACAAGGATCCCCTGTTTGGCTGGCCATTGCTGCCAGTAAGACGTTTGAACGGTTTCATCAGAGCGAGGGATGAAAGCAGAAAGCGGAGAAAGAGAAAAGTTCAGCACAGTTGCAATCTGACGAGTCAGATACACTGACACTCTCTTTCGTTCGACGCCACAAGGATACCCCTGTTTGACTGGACAAGAGCTGCCTGTACCACCGTGTCAAAAGGCTGTCCAACTACATGGCAGGACGATGACTGAGGTAAGGAAGCTTTTACTCGTTTCGATTGGTCTGCTGTTCTGTCGTTATGCTTGAATTTTTTTCCATTTTCAAGGCCAGGGGGAGCGTATCGCGTTTGTTTGATGTTGCTTGAATGAATGCCCTAAAAGTAATCAACCACTTCGTAATAGTCCTCAAGGACTGCAAGGACTTTGCATCAATCGTATATGATCGTCTAGCTATCATCAATTATTATTTTATTTCATGAGAAATGTATTTTTATCCCTGTGATAATTATGTGAACTCCACGACACTGTTCCTGTAGTATGATGTCAAATACAATGGGATCCACAAACGCAGTGCCAGTGTACTAGTAGTAGTAGGACTAGGAGGATTGCTTGTATGCCAATGACAAGAAAAAGCTTCTCAAGCTAATACTCGTATTCCCTGAAGTAACCGTTTTGATGTCACGAACATGACATTGTGTCAGTGAAACTGCCTCGTGACAACAAATCATTACATTTCCATCTTGGGGAAGACTGACTGACAGCAACGCTGTACAGATTGTTCAAATCATCTCATTTGAATTTAGTTGCAGTGAAGTGAAACACTGTGTACACTACATGTATGTTGGTGTGTCTGTGCGTCTTGAGTGTGCACAAACGATCTTGTTCCTCGTATTACTAATAGATTATTGTCCCCACCGTCACCTGTTCACAGGTCTTTGAGTGGATTGATTTTCATTGAGCATCACATTTGTTGAGAACTTGGTAGTTGTGTGCTCCCATGCATCATTACGGTAATAAGCGTATCCTTGTGCTATCTATTTGTTGCAGGTGTGCTGATCTTCAGAAGCTTGCGGAACTGAGTGCTGCTGAACATTTGCATGGCCATGAGCAATGGTGAAGCTTGCTATTGCACTCTCAGCATGTGCTAGTATTATGCTGACCACTGCAGTATGTTACTCTCTTACACTACTACGTGTATGTAAACGTGCGTGTACCCGTCCCCGTATGCATTCGTTTCGTATAATTATTTGTTATCCCTCTTGACTTTACATGTAAATGGGTGGACGTTTGCATGGCTGTTGGAGTTGGGTGTGTATTGTGTCTCTACTCTTTTTTTGGTGTTTTCTTGGTGTTGTATAAGTTTGTGTGTGTGTGTGTGTGTGTGTGTGTGTGTGTGTGTGTGTGCGCGCGCGCGCGTGCACAATAATTTGAAAACAAATAATTAATCCTGGGCTCTCCATTATTCTCTTTCGATTCTTGTTTTTTTTCTAGGTATTTTCTTGGCGTTGTGTGGGTGTGTGCATGTGTGTGTGTGCGTGCACAATAATTTGGCAACACTACATGATTGAGATATTGTAATTTGCAGCGTCTGCGAAGAGACCACTTGATTTGAGGATGGTGTTTGTAGGGTTTTTCATGTAATGAAGTGGCTGCAGTGGCGCCTCAATACATATTTTTTTATCTTGAGAAGTGAATGATGTTAAGGATTAAAGGGAGAGGTCGTTTTCTGGTTAATATTCACTGCTTACAGCAGATCCTATGTCTATTTTCGAACTCGATAGGGGATGCGTAATTGGCTGGACTTTATACAGGGGGTGTCGTCCACATAAAGACTCTTTATAGTTGATTTCAAAGTTTGGACTCCGTACAGTTGATTTTGGACCAATGGACTCTATATAGGGGTGAAGCCAATTGGCTGGACTCTATACAGGGAGTGATGTCCATCGAAACTTTGAGCTCACAGTTGATTCCAAATTTGGACTCTGGACAGTGGATTTTGGACCAATGGACTCTATATAGGGGTTGGACATCATATAGGGGCTGGACGCTCTACTGAGTCCAACATATATACCCAATCTGCGGACAGCATGCTGTTTCGTTCTTTTTGAACTCATCAGCGCAGCACAGAGAAAATGAGGCCGAACCTGATAGCAATGAAAATAAAAATTTCCAATCAGGCCCGAACGTACCTTGCCAGAGTGCTCAAACTGACAAGTCAGTGAGCTCTGCATAACGCAAACAGCGAAGGCACTACCCCACGCAAGAGTGCTCAACTGCTACAAGAGCTATATGTACATGTAGATTGCCTAATTTTGCATACGTAATAAAATTGTGTAAGTATACACACATGTGCGTGCACATATAGATAGACTCAGCGGCATGCGCATGAGTGTGTGCCGATAGGACCACATGCCAATTATCGGATTAGTCTGTGAAAGTTGCACGGCACGACAAACTTTCGGACAGTCTAAAGATATGACACAATGAATGTGGAATACCCACCAGTGTGTAAGAACATTTAATACCTATTTCGCAGCGTTTGTGATTTTCGGAGCGTCCCTGTTGATATTTGATGTCCTCACTTGGTTGATGACACAGTCATAAATTATCAAATTCACCTCCAATGTCATCCAATCTGCGTTCCGCGATACATGTACAGTGAACGGTGTTGAGGAAAGCCATGCAGCAATAAAACAGTCGAGACTCCCAAGCAGAGGATACAATTCAACAGCGCATTGAAGTACGAATTGTTGTAAACAATTTTCAAGACACAATTACAAAATTTGAAGTGCGTCTTGAAACGTGTTTGAAGTGCTTCGATGTATTTACCTTCGATCTCCCTGAATCGATCCATCCACAGCTACCCGACGAATTTACCAGTCAGTGCGGGAGATGATCGAGCAAGTTATATTTGAAGGTCGCGAGATGTCAGTGGCACTGACAGGAAATCTACACAAGCGTATTCTGAAATATTTTTCTAAGACTCAGGCGTGATTCAAGAGCGGACTTTGATTTCTACCTTCTTATAGTACGAGCACCAGTCGACATTGCATTCTTGGAAAATCTTCTGCGAGTGCTGCCTTCCCCTTTCATAGAAAGAACGAGTGAAGAGGGACACTAGCAGCAGGTTCTAGCTAGGTCGCCAGAATTGCAGAAAAGCGAGAACACGTTTCCTACAAAGATTGATCGCACAAAAATCATCGCTACCGAAAAATTAACTGAAAATCTACACTTTTCAAACGATGCGCGCGCAGAGGGTGTGAGCCACCTTAACTTCCCCTTTAACTTGCATTGTGGATAGCGCCTACCCAGTCCAATGTCCTTTTGTCGTTCAACATGATTTGTAGGTTTGTGTTCTCTTTAAAAAGAAAAAGAAAGAAAAAGGTTAAGTTCTGTTGCTCTGGCCTGGCGCGAATGTCTAGATGTTATTTGTTGCGATCGAATATATCGCTCAAACCGTGTTCCGGAAAATATTTTTTAAGGAGAATCAAGGATAGAGATTGCCCGACTTACCTCGTCCTTTAGAGAGATTGTGTCAGGTTGGAAATCTAGTAGATACTTGACTACTTCCAGATGCCCATTCTTAGCAGCGCAAAGTACAGGAAGGTCACCATTCTGTGTACAGGTAACACACATGACCAGACATTCCTATGCGTTATCCATCAGAAAAGTACTTATAATGGGTATAATGCACAATCCACTACGAAGCGAGGCAGTCTCACGCAAAACATCGTGATAAGTCAATTGACCGACTGTTTACAAGCTAGTGCTGGAAAACCCCAATACATGCTTGCTGGGCACGAGATTGGTTAGTTTGCATTCTTTTTGAGCCAAAATAATGTTGCAATATTCCTCTTGTGGTTTGAGGGGCATATGATGGGCGCAAATATACAATACTAAGAACTCTTTTGAATCATTACATTTTATGGACATCTCTGCACACACCAAAACATTCCTGTTGACGGGTGTTGAATTGATGATGAGTGTGTCCATGAGGTCCCATCAGAAATGATTGAGACCAATGTTTATGTGAGCCGGATGCATAATGGAGGTGCTTTGTGCAGCCATTAGTGCCGGGCAGCAGAGTCACCAATATTCACAGGTACATTTGCAGCAAATAATCGGTTTGGTAGTTGTTTCTGCCTGATACTTCCCAGCAATTGACATAATTATATCAAGCACAGTAGTCCTCATTGGCAAGAAGAGTGCTGTAGGAGTAACAGACTACAGCAAGGAGAGTCAATGATAGAGATTGCTTTAACTTACCCTGCCCTTCACAGAGATCATGTCGGGTTGGAGATCTGGTAGATACTTGACGACTTCCAACTGACCTTTGCAGGCAACTTTGTGAACACGAAGGTGACCAACCTGTTTACAGGTAACACACATGACCAGACATTCCTATGCATTATCCATCAGATAATATCTACATGTATATTGAGTTTAGATGTAATGCACATCTCCCTGTGAAGTGATTTGATCACATCTACACACAGTACTCTTAACAAAAACAGATCCACTTGGCAGTGGGGTCACAGTGTCTGTCGGCCAAGCCACGCAACCATACTGCTCTGTAGCAGCGATGACAGCATACCTGCTCACTACCCGCCATCATCCATCCACTGGGCCACTGTTTGTGCTCTCAGATGGACAGAAAGTTACTCGTGCGGTATTTACCACCCATGTACGTTCATTGCTGGCAGCATCTGCCGTGCCAAACCTGCACCTGTATTCCGGGCACTCATTCCGCTTTGCTGCCGCTGCAATAGCCGCAATGGCGGGTGTGCCCTACTCTCTGATCCGCGCCGCTGGACGCTGGAAGAGTGATGTATGTTTGCGGTACATGCGTATGCCAGCATGCCTTTTTCAGTACAGTGTGTCGTCACAACTTGCAAAAGGTTAGCCATTTGGTCTGAATTTTTGCCTAGCAATTCTGAATATTTACGTGGTGTGCTGGATTCGCGGATGTTCGCTCACAACTGGTTTGCTCTGTTTGCTTGCTTGCGAGTCAGTTGCAGAGTCATTGCCTGTTCGCGACTCAGCAGAGTTTTTTCGCGTTGCGACTCATTTGCCGAGTCACGTGACATTGCACCAGTTGTTCGAATCCAGCACTCTACCTATCCAATTTAAAGACTATTCTGTGTGTGCTCGTTCATGCGTGTTGGTCCACATGCACGCGCATGTACATGTCCAGCTGTGTGAAGCACGGGCTAACTGTCTTACAGGAAGAGTGCATTTTGCACTGAGAGATGACTGTGGATTCCCAATATAACTGTCTTACTGGAAGAGTGCATTGTGCGCTGAGAGATGACTGCGGGTTCCCAATATAACTGTCTTACTGGAAGAGTGCATTGTGCACTGCGAGATGACGGAGGATTCCCAGTATAACTGTCTTACTGGAAGAGTGCATTGTGCGCTGTTCAATGCAAGACGAACCCCTCTAGATCTGTCGTACTGGATGATTGCGTTCTACACTGTGCGATGCCAGATGAATGCCCATATAACTGTGTCACTGGATGAGCGCTTTATCCACCGTGCCACGTAAGGCACATCCAGCCCAGTAGCGTCCGCCACCTCCCAATATCAATGTCTTACTAGTTGACGCATTGTAAAATGTACGATGTCAGTTGAGTCTCTGTACGATTGTCTCAATGAATGAGTGCATTGCACGACTTATAATGTTGGGTTGAGTCCCAGTAGAATGGTCTTACCGGATGAACGTATTGTTTACCGAGAGTTATATGTCGAGTTCCAGCATCATTGTATCTCATTAGAGGAGTGCCTTGCATACGGTGTGGGGTCAGCTGTGTCCTAGTCAAAATCTCTTACTGGAGGAATTCATTCCAGTATGTCTTATTCGCTCATCAGAATGTGTACTATACGATATCAGACGAGGCCCAGTATTACAGTCTCTATGGATGGGTGCACTGCGTACTGTGTAATGTTCGCCACCTCCCAATATCAATGTCTTACTGACTCCTCCTCTATTTTAATGGACGGCGTTCCTATTGCCTTTGGACGTTCTGCTAAGCATCTCGGCGTACAGCTCAGCGATGGTTTGAAGTTCAATGACCACTTCCACACCATCTTTAGGAAGTTTCAGCAACGAGTCAACCTGTTATGTTTCATGGGCCGACATTTACCATCGTCTCATATTCTCCCCTTGTATAAGTCTTATGTGCGTCCGGCAATTGAATATGCCATTCCTGTCTGGTCATTTAGGCTCACATTCCCTCAGTTAGAGTCCCTTGATGTACTTCAGGCTAAGGCTGGCCGGCGACTCCTGAAGTCTGCGAAAATACCCTTTGATATCTATGAATCAAAATCCAATTTGAATAGATTGTGTCACTTTGAATCTCTGCAATTTCGCCGTGTCTTTATTTCTCTTGTTGTTTTATTTAAGTACATCAATTTCCACCCAGAATATCACTCTCTCTTTGCGATAACCATATCACGTAGTGCACGTAGGCCCAAAAAACTCATTTTTAACTCACATGGTCGTATTTTTTCATCCCTTTTCCTACAGAAAACTGGTTCTCTTTGGAATTGTCTTCCACCCTGATTGACAACTTAGATTCCCTATCTGAATTTAAGCGTCATTTACGTATTCACATTGCTAAGTATCAGTTCGATTGCACTGGTTCACCTTTGATGTGCAATCATTGATTTACATTCTTGTTCTTTTCTTTACTGTCTTACCTTCTTTCCTTGTGTTTCTTATTATTCCTTTTTTTAAGTCCAACATTTCACACTCACTTTGCGCACTTTCTCTAGCATCTTTAACTATGCTACTAGTACATACACAAATAGGAGATCCCCCAGATAGGCGTTAGCCTTTGGGTAATCCTGAAATACAGATTATTATATCACTTGTCTACGTATTGTGCAATGTGCGATGTCAGTTGTGTCTCTGTACGATTGTCTCAATGAGCGAGTGCATCACGCCACGCACAATGTTGGGTTGAGTCTCAGTAGAATGGTCTTATCGGATGTACGTATTGTTTACCGAGAGTTATATGTCGAGTTCCAGTATCATTGTGTCTCATTAGAGGAGTGCCTTGCATACTGGGTGGGGTCAGCCGTGTCCTAGTCAATATGCCTTACTGGAGGACATCATTCCAGTATGTCTTACGCGATCATTAGATTGTGTGCTATACGATGTCAGACGAGGCCCAGTATTACAGTCTCTATGGATGGGTGCATTGGGGACTGTGTAATGTCCACGGTATGGTATGCCCCCACATGAGCGCGACCCAAAACAGCGCCGTTGACTTCGGCGTAATTACGTTAACGTAATTGGTCGCGCCAAAATGGGGCGTGCAAGAGATGAGACGAGCTGTAGTGACACCGTGTCACATTAGGTCGCGCTGTACTGGGGGTGCTAATATGAACACGCGCCGTTTATGGTTGCGCTGTTTTGGGTGTAAATCATGTCCACCACCTCCAATATCAATGTCTTACTAGTTGACGTATTGTGCAATGTACGATGTCAGTTGAGTCTCTGTACGATTGTCTCGATGAATGAATTTGTTGGCCACGTACCATGTTGGACGGGTTCCAGGAGAATGATCTTACCGGCTATACGTTTCGGTCACCTAGAGTTAAATATTGATTTCCAGTATCATCATCTGTCCTATTGGACGAGTGCCTAGCAAACTGTGTGGTGTCAGCTGTATCCCAGTAAAAATGTCTTACTGGAGGAGTTCATTCTCCACTGTGCGAAGTCAAATTAAGCCCACTGTACCAGTCCTATTAGACAGGTGTTCCATGCACTTTGCATAGTCAGATCAAACCTAACTTACAGGCTTTTTGCATGTGCTCTGTGTGTGTGTGAGGCCTATTGAAGCCTGGCGACAGTGTGCGAATACTACTGGATTAGTTCCAACAATGTTATGCTGTGAATTCAATCATGCCGGCCCTATCGGTTTTCACTTGTGACGAGTCTGGTTGTGGCACAACCCTGTACATTATTCTTGCATCCAGATGACTTACTCTGCTGTTCTGTGTGCTTTTCCTGCTTGTTCTTTCTCCTTTCTCTTCTCTACTCCCTGCTTTAGAGTACTTCAGGAGTTAGCTATGGGAGGATTGATTCTGTTCAGCCCAAACTGAACCGATATATCTGCTATCTGTGATCTTTATAGTCGCCACTTTCTGTTCAGTCAGGTTTGACAATTCAGATGCCTTGTTCATGTGCACTGCGTGGACGTATCGCTATCATCTACCTGTTATGCGGCCAGCACTGTGTTAAAGATTGATCTATTATTAATATTTGTCGTACGATCTACGATCTACGTTCTACTACGTCTCTCGTTTTACGTTCCTTTTGATGCATGCATGACGAAGAGTGACGATGTCTTACCGTATGGTGAATCAGTCTTCTTCTGCATTACATCTGCATGGCTGACGTGTGTTTTACTTTGGTACGAGCTGACGAGTCCTATAATACTGTCGTGTCATGGCGCCACTAGTGCCACGACAGCACTGACGTGTCTCTGCTGCTTATCTCTCCATGATTGCCTTTTACATGTTCACTTCTATAATTATCCTAGAACAAACCAGATGGTGTTTTCTGTTGTGGTATACGCGAGTTGCATGGACTAAATCTTGCATGCGTACATTATAACAATTGGCGACGAAGATGAGCGTTTGTAGTAACCTAAGCGGAGCCCACAAGCTTCCAGTTTTCGAATACCAGGGCACGTCAGCAGAAGTGTCCTCTCGCTGGAAGAAATAGTTACGAAGTTTTACATACATGGCTGAAGGCGAAGGGATTACGGATCACAAACGGTTGAAAAACTTATTGCTGCATACTGCCGGAACAACGGTTCAGGACTTATTAATTTTGAAGACCTCGAAGATCCGCAGGCGTCGGCTCTGCCTGCGGATGACAACGAGCACTAGTAACAGGTTACGTTACGGAAACTGAACGAACACTTTTTCAGCTCCGTAGTGTTTGACAGCCCAGCCGGAAACGGGCCGGTCTGGAATTAGGACAGTAGTATTAGTGGCAGTGTAGGGTAGCATAGTGTAGTAGGGTAGCGTAGTGTAGGGGTGTCATTAAGGATGACAGTTGGAAAATAGTTGCCGCGGGCCCGCCAAGAAAGAAGCGATTGGGGTTCTTTGTGGGCAACTTGAGCCCCGACTGTACGGTGGACAGCCTCACTGAGTTTGTACACTGAAGGTCGGAAAGCGTGGGGACGCCTGTCAAAGCCCACCAATGCAGCCTACACACAGCTGGAAACGGGCAAGTGTCCGCCAGAATATCAGTTGATGCCATCTCCAAGCTGACAGTGATGTCAGCCAAATTCTGGCCAAGGCCGCTCTACTGCAGGCCGTGGAGATTCCACACCTCCACAAATGCAAATGCA